AATAACCATCGGAAAATTTTCTGACCAGTCATTGGCCACAAGTTGAAAACAATTTTAAATATAATTAACTTAAATTATTTAAGACTTTTTATAAATTAGTCTTTTATTAAAACTATTTGCATGTACAGAAACAATTTTCACATAGTGACTTAGTCATGATACTTTTTTGTTGTAAAATATAACTTTTTATTATAAAATATGTGAAGTTTTTAATTTTCTTTAGATTCACTACCTGATTCAAGTAAATCAAGTTTGTCATCAACAATATTATTATTTTTATCGTTGTCAGCCTCAGAATCATGATAATATTGACTTTGGTCTTGATTTTCGTCATTATGTACAAAATTTTATTTCAATGTACGCAAACAATGGGCAGTATATGTTAATTACCCAGCCCGTCCAGTGTTCAAACGATTTTTTTCGAAACTTAAGATTTATACGTACGTTGGAAGCAAACATTCAGTTGTGGAAGAGAAGCAGGGTTAATTTAATATTTTGTTTGCAATTTTACTTATTGATGTAATTCTATAATCGCTTTGCCCCCATGAGTTTGTAAGGAGTGGTTTTAAAAAATCTTGTACTGCCTCGTTATCCCAAAATCCTGAGTTAGTGTTGAATTCTGCCAATTCGCGCACTACAGTAGTGCTTAGGAATGGGGCAAATCAAAAAGATTCGCGATCAATTATCGAGAAATAAGACACTAAAATTATGTGCTCTTGAAAATTACAATTTTCTTTATTCTAATACAATTCAATTTACTTCTTTTCAACACAGTCACTATTTAAGAATTTATTATTATCTTGATTAATTATAAACAATAGTTAGAAATTACTTTATGCTTGAACGTGGAAGCGAGTTTACAATAAATTATTACGAGGCGGCAAGACTCGAGTTACTACGATAGAACGCTCGATTAAGACGTGCTGAGGGGCTTGATAATCGGAGGGGGACTGGGCTCGCTCGCATCGTTCTCGCAGAGAGCCACTGTTCTCTTTATAAATTGTGATGGTTGGTCAAAAGAGCGACGCTTGTTGTACTCTAATAGGTACATGCGCTGACCAATAAAAATTCAGAAGTGAGCGCACCAAATTTCAACTTCAATACTCAACATTCCCCCACCTTTGCTTCGATGGGTGGAGAAGCAAAAAAAAATCAAAACCTTAACTCAGACATAATATAAAACGCAACTTTTGCTACACCACTTAACTTTGAGAATCCAACTCCTTTTCACAAGTTAACAAAATCAACTTAGTGATTGGTCGAATAACAGTAGTGTTAGCATTTTTAACCTTAACAACCTGCACCCTAGAATCTGAACCAGGAACCCATTGAGCTCTTTGTTGCAAAGATGTTAAATAGTCCTGAGACCAACGACGCCAAAATCTCTGAGCCAGTTGAGTGATGAGTTTTTAACGCTGCATACAGGAAATCCTTATATTTAACAAATCAACTTCAGGCAGCATGGTAACTTATTTTAAGTTAAGTAAGGGAGCAGGAGTTAAGCACTCTAGATCTGATGGGTCATCGGTCAAAGGAGAATTTGGACGAGAATCCAAACAAACTTTTATTTCACACAATAAGGTCGAATTTTCTGAAAATGTGAAAAGTTGATTACCTATTACCCTTTTCAAGTGGTGTTTGGTAGACTGCACGGCTGCCTTTTAAACTCCTCCGAAGTGAGAAGTGGCCGGAACGTTATAATGCCAATTGATCTTTACGATTGACAATTGTTTTACAAATTCTGAAGAATTGTAAAGCACGATCCATCGGCGTCTCAGCTCGAGGTCAGCACCAACGAAATAAGTTCCTCTATCACTATACAAATCTGAACAATGCCCTCTTCTAGCAGTGAATCGTTGGAAAGATGCAATAAATCCTTCAGCGCTATAATTTTCAACTATTTCCAAATGAATAGCTCGAGTACTCATACAGATAAACACTACCACATACCCTTTTGTAGTAGTAGTACCCTTACCCCTGTATTTAGACAACCTAACAGGAAATGTTCCGGCTTAATCTTTGCCAATTTTCTGAAAGGCTGAAGTAGGTCTAACTCTAGTACTAGGTAAATCTGCCATTATCTGGTTCAAAGTTAGAGGAAAACAGCGTTTACAAGTGACACATTGGGTAATAACAGAGTGAACATTGTGTCAACTCCTAGTAATCCAATATTTGCGATAACAAGTACTTAGAGTAAGCTGAGGACCACCGTAAAGAGTTAGTCTATGAGCATACTCGATAACCAACCTGGTGAGATAATCTAAGGTAGCTAATATTAACGGATGTTTAACTTTGAAGTCCAATAAGGAGTGACTCAAACGACCACCAACCCTAATTAACCGATCCTTGAGAAATATCTTGAGTTTGATCAAGAAGTTAGTAGACGGTAGACTTATGATTTTCTTCTGAGTAGGGTCAGTAGTTATTTAAGCAGTAGCATCGCTACTGTAATTGTAACGATATTAAGGAACAGTAACTGAAAGGCGCGACCAATACAATCTAATAAATTCTAAAACAAATCCAAAACAATATGCTGTCATGCGCAAAAGTTTGTCTAAAACAGAATATCTATAATACAAATCCCAAGTATTAGGGCAAAAAGTCTGTTGGTGGCTTGTAGTAGGGGGAGACTCGCTAGCTAGGACATAAGATGACCCTGAATCTACTCTGAACGCATGAAGCTCAGGATTGAGTTGATAAACGACATCAGGGCCATGAAACCAGGAAGGATGCTGTAGTAACTGCTATGGCAGTACACCTCGAAAAGCAATATCAACTGGGGTTGAGCTTGCCCGACACATAGTGCCAAATAGCGTGAGGGACTAGCTGAAGAATATTACTACATTGATTAGCTATAAATGTAGGCCATTAAAATGGCTGAGCACTTATCCAATGTAACACATCTCTCGAATCCGATATGAATATATGGAATCGATGCGTAACTTTGAGTTTTCCTTGAAATGACTTGCAAGTTTAGATAATAGATGTACGGCGCAAAGCTCAAGACGCGGGATACTAACAACCTTTAACGGAGTTACTCTTGTTTTGGATTCTGGAGTAACATACTTATTTGCTTTCCTTGAACTATGCGGATATACAAAACAGCGGCATAAGCAGTCTTTGACGCGTCAGCGTAACCATGCAATTCGTTTAGTTGGATCGTAAGGTTGAATTGATTTTCCCTAGATACCTTAACGTCTTTTAACTTCTGAATTTCTGACAACCAATGTAACCAATTATTTGATATTTCCTTAGGTATGGGAGAC